GGTAAAGCTGAAACTTGTACTGATCTGAGGAGGATTACACATCCCTGTTACCAGATTATGTTTTTAGAAACATAAAAAAGATCAACTGTCTGTTTCATATGGAGAGACTGGAGTGTATCTTGCACTGGCAGCTCTGAGAACGCAAACTGAAGCACTGACAAGTCTGGCTCGGATTGCTCGTTCGTCTCCGTGCTCTGGTGATCCCACCTAAGCTCTCTACCCTCTCTCCAATTTAAAGCTTTCTTAGAGTAAATTTATTCATACGTGCTTTCTTGGTTACACTGGGTAATTCCTCCAGTCTAGGAAAGGACATCAATTAAATACTGACAAACACCTTAAGAAAGAGGAGGAAAGGTAAAGCTCTACAGCTCTCTGCTCTAGCGAAGAAATAAAGTTGGCACCATGAAGAGTATAGATCGTATTGGATCACTCAGAGAAAGGTCTGATGACCTGAGCTGCCGATAGCAGCCAAATATTCCACATCAAACACTACAGGCGCTGCCACCAAAACCTCCTCCGTGCACCCATGATGGCTCTTCGTCAGAGGGACGGGTCAATGTGGAGTTCTTTGGGGTGCACGACCAAGCACAGCCCTTCAGACTGGCTGTGGTCCTCTCCAGCCTGGGCACGGGAACATCCATCAGCGTTATAAACGTTCCAGACATCATCTCTGTCATAAAGCCTTATCAGCTATGGAGATCTCCCAGTTAACAAACCCCAGGCTTACCTAAATGACACAAAAGTAGTTCTGGTTTCAGCCCAGGCATGGGGAGGGCGCATGACTATGTTTATTATTTGCAACATGCATCATATCTAGGAACACCAGCCGCACACTGGAAGACCCTGCTGCAGACAGTATGTGTGCAAAAGGAATGAGAAGTCCCCAACCCAGCATGCTCACAATCTAATTATAAACCAAATGAAACTAAAAGAAACGGTAAAAAGAAATGCTGGGTAATTTGTACCCCATCACTTCCTAAGCTGCAGCATTTTCAAGTTTTCTGAAGGACACATGGCGATGATAAAGGCAGATAAAGGGACAGCTCCCTGGGTGTTCAAGAAGTCAATCACCATCATCAAAATGTTCTGAATTTAGAGATATTTTACCGATCCAAACAACATTTTTTCAGCTGTTGTACTGGAAGAAGAGAAATACAGTATTTTACATAAACCCATTAAAAAATGACCACTGTAAGTGCTAAATACCTCAGCTGACATCAAATTAGCCAACATCAATGACCTGCTCTGTTGTTTGGTCTTTTTTTTTTTTTTTGGTTAAACCCCAAACATTATAGCAGATATGTGCCCTCAGGAAAAAGTCAAAACTGTAAGGATGAGTGACAAATCTGCGTGATTCAGGATATGCACTACGGCAGCCCAGGTAGCTGACAGAAGCAATCATTCATTCCCCTGTTGATAAACACCCCACACTCACTGAAAGTCATGCCGCTGCTGCTTGCCGCTGCCTGGTGTCAGCACATTACTGTAAAGATTTGTGTTTGCTTTTTACTTTACCTAAAATAAAGTTTCCATGTCCAAAACACTTCTCTCTTCCCTAAAAAATACCTTTAGAGCTCAAAGAACTTAGCAGTTCACCTAAACTTCTCTCCTCTTGGATGCTGAGAAGCAGAAGTGAAATTACTCGGGTCAAGGCCAATTGCGTAAAACCAAAAGTTGAATCTCTCAGTCCAACCCGTCAATGCTTACTGCCACAGAAAATTCAGGTCCTTGTGTTTCTGGTGACAGCACACGCATACTTCAGGCCTGTCCCTGCAAGTCACTGGTGGAGAAAATCTGTCCCAAATTCGTAAACAATACCTGTACCACTTCGTGGTAAGACCGAAAGACAGAAACACAGGCTGTGAATAAGAGCACTGATGAAGAAAAGAGTTACCTGGCATGGTGGAAGAGCTGTCTTCTTCACAGCCACCTACGTGATGACCAAAGGCAGCCAGGTGACTCCTGCCGAGAGGCTGGTGCAAAGAGGGATCAGAGAGAGACCCCATGAGTGCACCCAACAGCCAGCGATGGCCTTGAAATGGAGAGCAAGGAGGATGCGTCGACCCACAAGGAAGAAATCTTGTTATGTGGATGGTTTTACATGATGATACAAGAGTGGGGAGCACATCTACGTTAAAGTGAGAGAAGGCAGGAAAATCTCCCTCCGAGCATACCTGCGTAAGAATGATTTTGAAAAAGGCCAATATTTTATGCTCTCACACCAGAAAAGCTTCTAGCACTAACACCCACCTACTAAAGCAGCCAGTTTTGACATGACCAATACCCAACTGACAGCGTTCACTTTCCTGGTATCCTTTTGTTGCTTAGTTTGAACACAGCACCTGCTTTGAGGAGCCTCTAAAATGACCCCTGTCATTCCATGCAGGTATCCTCTTTGGATCTCAGCTGATGTGCGATAGCCAGAGAACAGGTAACATTTCTATAGGCTGTTCTTTGACTTCTGAGTCCTTTAGGAGGAAAACGTACAACCTACAGCACAGATACGGAGTTGAATAACTGCAGGTCAGGCAGGACACAAACCTTGCCGTGCCAACCCCTCCTGCTGTCACGTAGGGACACACGTTAAGGGCAGAAGCAGCAGCACATCTCTTCTCCCTCACTTTTCAGGCACTGCAATTAAAATGGAGTGTGAAAGGTATTTCAGTATCACACATGCGAAGGAGAGAGATTAATTGTGCAACAGTACACCCACTCAGCAGGTTCGCTCTGGCTGCCACGGCCTGCGAGAGGAAACGAGGGCAGGTCACGGCCACCTCCTGCACGCAAAACGTTCAGCAGCTCTACAGACACGGTCACTCAAAACCCAGCATCCTGTGCACACAAGACACAAGCTTCACTAAGACTTCTTCTGAGACGTACTCAAAAGCAAGGATGTGCACTTAAGCACAGCATCAATAAGGCACCATGGAAGCAGAAACGGAGGCAGATCTACCAAGAAGCATGAAACAGCACAAATGCTTGTCTTTCTAAAACGTTCAGCCTGCACCACAGTTCGACTCAGCAACAGCAACACCAACACCAAATTAACATCGTGAGAAAACTGAGAAACCCATTTGCTCATACGGAACCATACCCATGCGTTTGCATGCATGAGTCCCCACGTTCCTAGGAACGCGTGGGTTTTAAAAAAAATACAACAGAAATTGCAGTGCACACAAACAAAAGGTACCGATGGCACTTGCTGTCAAGTATGTTTTCGAGTAGTGCCACCTCCCTGAAGAGCTTGTCAGCTTTTCCTCATGGTGTCAAGTGTGAGATGCCCACAAAGCTCAAGGGAACTTTTGTTGACTGTCATGACTAGTATCATTGTATTTGTAGTAACAACTTATTTTTAAGAGAATCCAATCACTATGTAACTCATTCTGTATGGGAGTATTTGCTCTGAGGAAGTAACACACCTGCAGCTGAAATACACCCCACACAACTTTGGTCCTTGTAAAGCCACCCCTTTGGGCAGCACTTGTGAAAAAACCCCGCAAGTTATAGTGAAGATTCTTCTTATGCAGAGTCCTTCAGTAAAATAACTTCATTTTGAGTATTACTTGTGACTGCCTACTAATACCACAGCATACTGAAGACATGTGCATTCCTCAGCCAGAACAATGTATCTGGAGCACAGCAAGTTTGTTGAGGTACATGAGCAAATGAACTGATCTAATGGTTTGCTGCCATCAAAAGGAGGTCTTACACCTCCCGCCCCAGATGAGCAGCCCCATCCCTTCCCTCGGACTGTCCCTCCGTGAGCTGGTTCAAATCGCTAACCAGGCACAAGGCTGCCAGTCTTTTTATCACTGGGTTCATTTTTACAGGGCTACCGAGGCGTGCTGGCTCACAGCAGGGTCCCCGCGGCTGCCCAAGTCTACCCAGGGTCAGCAAGGAGAGGGCACGGACCAGAGGCCCGGGCAGAAAGAGCCTTCTGCACCTCCACTGACCCTCAGCATCTCTTTACAGCAGACACTGAAAGGCCAACATCAGCAGGACTGTAAGCTTCAGATGCTTTGTTTTGGGGTAACAGAACACATTTCTAGGTTGCCAACTCAAACACAGAGCAGATTAGAGGTGGCCAAACGTGAACCATATAGGAAGCTAACATAGGCGTCGAAGACGGGAAGATGTGGTAACATTTCTCTGAACTCCCCTCTGGGCTCCTGCATCACATTATCACCTCGGTGTGACTGCATGGGGGGCAGCACGGCTGCTCTCCTCCTCCTCCTCGTTGGAACAGCTACTTACAACTAACTCCTTAGCTCTCAGGTCTCTTTGATCATTGTTACTACAACTTGTCCCTACTAGTACATATTTTAACAAAAGAAAATAAGCACTTTAAAAATCTCATATCCTGATTACGCAGCATCTCCAACCCAACTACATAGTGGCACAACCTGGAACCTGCAAAGGTTTGCACATCGCTCCCCCGGCTACCACCTTGCCTGCGCCTGCGAGGCATCTCACCGACTCATCCACTTAAGGAGGGTTTGTTGCCAAGATACACACGCCTGAAAAGAAGCCTCCAAGGACAGCACAAGTGCCTGCGAGAGGATTATTTGATTATTGTGTGTTTCATGAGCGCGTGAGAGCGATAAGCAGTTATGCCTGGACTGTAGCAGCAGCGACGCCGATGCATTTACTGCTGGGACGGCGCTAGCACAAGCGTTTAGTTCTTTGGAGAAGAACCGTGAATTACCCACGACACCGAAGCTTCTTGATTTTCACCCCATGAAGTAGCATGTTTCTTCACTGGTGAAACCACACAGTTGAGCTGGAAACAGTTGATTTAGACAATTTAGGAATTCTCTGAATAACTTTTATGCAGAGAAACTGATGAAGACAACACGATGCTGATGATTGCATTTAACACCAGCTCTAGGGTACTTAGCTGAAATATAGGCCTGTGGCTCGGAGTCCTAAATTAGAGGTTAAAGTATAGCCAGTATAGATGAACTTAAACTGTTTCCCTGTATTCCCTTCTCTGCTTTTACCTACTGTCACTTGAGTGACACGACTGCAAGCTCTCCGGGGCAGGAATCCTGGTACAGCATCCAGCATGACGGCCTCTGACCCAGGAGCCGTGCTAAAACAGGGCTGTAACACGTCCAGCTAAGGGTTTGCCATCGGAAAGCAGGAAACTGCACTAAGATTAAACCCAGTTTCTTCTCTGCTGTTGAGAGACCAGTTTCTGGAGACCACTGTCAAAAAGCATCAAAATGAAGCTATTACAGCTCTCCTCACGCAGTTGTTTGTGATTAACGCTTCCTGATTCACTCCATATGGGAACGAGTGCTCAGGAACAGCGAGGTCCACATGTGGAATTAATTGTCAACAGCACTTCCAACTCACACCCCAAACTAATTCCCATTAATTTGTAAACGTACATTAAAAATAGCCGAGAAACACTAAATCTCGTCAGCCGCAGCCCAAGTGCGCATCGGGCCTATCGGCAGCCGGAGCAGAGGCTGCGCAGCCACCCAAGGGCTGCTGCGGCGCGGCCAGCCAAAAAAGCAACTCCCGCTTTTTGACAATGGATTCCACCACTCTGAACTGAAAACAGAGAAACAGCCAAGCTGAGATACTTACGGTTCTGGTGAAAAACGAACAGCGCTTAAAAACTCGCCCCTCTGCCGACCCCAAGACTGCGCTCCCTGTTCCTGTTGTTCTGACCTGTGCCCTCGCCCGTTGCTGCAAACCAGCTAAACCCAGAGTCTCACACGCTCAGAAATGCAGGCGTAATGGCGTGGAAACAAAAAATTGTTGGTGTTGTTTTTTTTTTTTTTTCCCCAGCAAGAAAGTACGCAGTCAAATTTAAAGTCCTGGGCTGAGGCACTGCCATGGCAGTGTATTACACTGGTAGAATAAGGCTTTTAAGTGGACAAAAAAATCAATTTGCCTACACTTTATTCTCAGCAGCAGTTGAAGAGATCCTGCTGATGTTAAAAGACACTCCCCCTTCCTCAGACAGACAGACAACCATGCCCCCAAATTAAAGTCTGGCAAGTGAAAAAGGTCTTTAGAAGTGGATCGCTGGGCAGCCTTAGCTACAGGCACTCCCGCTTCCATTGCCTCCCGACAGCACCGAGGAGAACGTGCTGCCTGCAGAAGGAACGGGCAAGTCTGCCTGCTGCCGGCACTGCTAGGACAAGCGCAAGGAGGACAGCACAGAGAGGAAGGGAGAGCATCCTCATCACTCACAGCCGTTTGCGTCACCCTTACCCAGATCTTTTATTTGGAGTTATCAGTTGCTTGTGAATCAATGTGGTAACCAGCAGGGTAAATCTCACACATCTGTCTATAATACATGGAAGGAAACCATGAAGTCTTAAAGACATCAACTCATGCAGCCTTATGAGACCATCAGCAAAAGCTTTAATGCTTCCCAAAATTAGGAAATTACTCTGGGCCATGTTCTGAGGAGAAAAGAATTAACTACTGAAGTAGAAGATGGCAAACTGCTGAGTGCACAGGGAGTGTGGCCATACTGTCAGTAAGGACAGTCTGAAGTACTAACACCCGTACCTCATTTTAAAAGATCTCATTTCCCATGCAAGTGATGAAAACACGAGCATATCTGACTGGTAAGCAGCACGTTGTCAAGAAAGCACAATTAATTGAAACCCGCAGATTGTTACGTAGACATTCATTAGACCATCAATAAGTCACAGGTAATCGCATTACCCATCGGAAATACGGAATAGAAAAATTCTTCTCCTAGAGGAGAAGCGAAGGAAGCAATTCAAATAAAACACGTACTATATATTGCTATGAGTCCTTCACAGTTGACGATGACTACCAAGCTGCAAGTTAGAACTTTGCTACTATCGATGCTAAAAATATAGAGGCAGTTATGTGGCCAATACTTATTTGAAAAGCAAAGTGCAGGAGAAATGCCAGCTCCTCTGCGGTAAGCACAGGGCACTGCTACCTAGCCAGGCCTTTCAGGATACATGTAATTTGTTTCTTAAAAACTACATTTCAGTATGGCCAAAACCATTTTTATCCTCTGTTGGATCTTTTTGGTCACTCAGGGCAAACACTGTACACCACCCATCAACGGTTATGAAGATTCCTCACATCCTTCCATTTCAACTCTGTGTGTGTATATATAGTTTGTACGTGATTGGACAGGAAATTCAACCAAATTCAGCGCGCTTATGATAAACACCATACCATGGTGTAGTCCCATTAGAGACACAGAATTTGCATGGAGCAGGCGCTGCTGCCGAAGCTTGACGTGCTAGTGGCAGCATGCTTCCAGCTGTAAGCCTAGCTGAACTACAAACACTCTCAGCTACCTAAAATACACCTCGCTCTGTGTAAATAAAGAGAGCTCTCAAAGGGTGGCAGGTTCTGCCCCACACACAAGACAGTGCAATTGCTCCGTCAACGTGGTTTTCACAGGCACAAGCAATTTTAATGCGTGAGATGGTTCATCTCCTTGAAAGACTGACCTGAGAAAAGTAATACTATGCTTGGTCCTCTATCACTAACATGTAGTTTAACCTGGTTTCCCTCCAGCATTTCTGAGTTACATAGTGACGCCCCTCCTTAGCAGATCTCTCTGGAAAGTTTTGTTGGTTTTTTTAATGGTTTCTGCAACAGTGAAAGGAGGAAGCAGAGTCTGAAGACGTCACGGTCAGTCTGCCTGGCTGCATGCCACGAGACCCAACTGCTGCAGACTGCATGTCCTGGCTGCTCCTCCTGGACCTGTTCAGCAGCCAGGTACTACGTGTGTAGAGCAAAAACGTGTCCGATAGCAAAGAGCATCAGGAGGTTGTCGTATCGCATTCATAAACTACATGGAAAAATAAGCAAATAGTGAAGTAGCAAAATTTGCTGATGATACCAAGTTATTCAGGGAAAAACACGTCGGCTGACAACCTATAGGAGAGAGGACAATGACCACAGAGGAATGTCATCTTGGTATTATAATAAACACTTGTACAAAAGCCTCAGGTCAACAGTGGTCAAAGCAAGCAGAACGACAGGAATTCCCAGGAAAGCAATACAGAACAGAAACAAAACCCACACGCACCTATTTGTGCCAAGACTGTGTGCCATTTTCATACCGGCTCTAAATACATCTCGGTGAGCTTGACAAGCCCAACGAGGACAGAACGGCCCTTAAATGAGGAACAAGACGGGTCATTCAGCCTGGAAGAGATAACTGATAAGCCATAGGAGGAAGGTCTGTAAAATCCTGAATGGCATGGTAAAGCGAACAGAACAACAGTTTGGATTCAGATACAAGAGCTGGAGATTTCTGGATGAAACGAAACCACACTTGTCATGTTCTTGTGCTCTTGCAACTTCTCTCTGGGTTACTGCTGTTGATCAACACTGGAAAAGACCACCAGGCTACAGAGGCCTGTGACTGGACTCACTATGGCCATTCTTGGGCACACCAAGCCTTCAGTGAGGACATCTGAGACTGAGCTGGAGTCTTCACTCCTCAGACCTTGAGCTGTCAGACTGCCGGTGCTGAGAATCATGATTTCTGCCTTCAAAAAAACCCCAAACCAACCCATCCTAACAAGGTTTCTTCTGTATACAGGTATGGAAGACACAGAACCTCAGGATGACAGTACACATAGTTAAAAAAAACCCAACAGTTTTGATTCGCTACAAACCAACAAGTTTAAGATTAAAGGGGATAAGGAAAACAAGAGAGGTTAAAGGAGGATCCTATCACGCCGGTGAAACAAGAAAGTCAGGCTTTACTCAAATGGCTTGACATGCAGAGAGATCAAACATCTCCTGAACGTGCATTTTGCTTTGAGGAATGAAGTGGGTCCTCGGCTGGCAGGACCAGCACCGAGGTGCCAACCACACAAACGCCACGGGCTGGGGGGCCAGGAGCCCTTCAGCGTCAGTCTCAAATGCATTTCCCAGCCAGCAGACCTCGAGCCTCTCCGATGACCTGACCACGAAGGGTGTTATCTGGTGCACGTGGATGCCTAGCTCCGCAGCCACTTTCCAGAGATCTGTAGAACTGCCCAGGTTGGTATGACCTCAAAAGATCATCTGGTCCAACCTTTCATGGGAAAGGCAGCCCAGATGAGACTACCTCGCACCCTGTCCAATCGCATCTTGAAAGCCTCCAGTGATGGGGACTCCACCACGTTCCAGGGACTGATTGCTCTTGCTGTAAGAAACATGTTTCTTGTGTCAAGATGAAACTTCTCCTGGTGCAACTTGCACCTGTTGCTCCTTGTCTTCTCCATGCGGCTCCTTGTGAAGAGAAGTTTGTACTATCAAGTTTGCATTCCCTTTCTCCTACGACACAGCTTAGAGGAGCAGCAGGTCACAGACGACCTTTCATCCAGATAGGAAAGGCACCCGACGTACGTTTTTGTGGGTAAAAATTGAACATGACGTGGTATGTGAGGCTGAAAGGCAAAGCCACTGAGATCTTGTTTGACATGGAATGACAGAACAAACTGCAAAAACCTCAGAGGCAAGCCAGAGTAGCTGAAGCAACGAAGGAAAAAAACCCAGATGAGAAAGCTCATTCACGAAGCAGCCCCTGCCCTCAGACAGGGCCGCACACGCTTCACTTCACGTACCCATGTACCGCTGGTGACACAAGGTGGGACTTCTGCAGGTACCGCACAGCAAAACCTCTCCTGCTCCGCGTGAAAGTTCGTACAACCAACTTCTGTAAGTCCTCGCAGACTGTCACTGAGAGGAGACTTTATTGCTTTGAACAAGAGCATTTCCATCACTTCGGGGCTCCTGAGGTTGGAGTGGGCTGCTCCTCAAAGCCTGTCAGTGTTCATCTCCTATCAGCTGGAGACCTCCTGAGCGCAGAGAAACACCTGGACATGTTCCTGCCCCGTCCCTCGCTGCAGAGCCTGCTGTCAGGCTTGGCAGCAAAGATATTTCTAATTGTAATGCAACATAGTTGGAAAGTCCGAATTAAAGGGAACAATATATCAATACTCGGCGACTCTTAACAAACACGCACTGGGTTCTCCTACGCCTCCAGCTCAGAGGAGCACCTGAGAGACCTGCTGAACACAATCAGAAAGCTTTAGGACAGCAAAGCTCAGGAC